GGCGCGGTCCCGCGCATTCTTCAACATCATGTTGGAATCAGGCAAACCAGTGACAGACCCTCAGAAGGACTTCGTGCAGTTCCTCAAGGACATCACCAAATCGATGGTGGGCAACAAAGGATGTGAGCACGGTGAGATCCTCATGAAGGCGCTGTCGCACTTCGGAATGGTCAGAGTTCCCAGAGATCGAGTCAAGCAGATCTTCGTTGGGAAACGTGGAAGGCAATACGGTGTCATCCGAGAAGAGTTCACTCTGGGTGATGGCAACGATGCCCATGATCGATTTGCATATCGTGTTACCAAGGATTATGGGAATGTCTTCTACAAGGACTACCTCAAGATGGTGCTCGGAGATGACTTCACGGAGGTCATGGGATATGCTGATGCAACGGCCGAGAAATGTGGAGACGTGGTCGAAATGTGGCTTGGAATGTTGGATGTGGCCAACATGACGAAGTCCCAGATCACATTCATGGAGACAAAGGCCGATCCAGGTGAGCTTCTTGCAGGCCTGGAAGCATCCATCAACATCTTCCATGGGACGACAAGATCTACCACAACTCCAAATACAAAGAGAGGTGGATCGAGGATCACCGAACCTACCAACTATGAGGAGGCATTGGTGAACCAAATCCTACGTGACATCCCAATGTACCATGGATTGCAGTATGCATGCCTGATTGAGGACAAAGAGATCAGCGTCATCAACGAAAACTACAAAAGGTCCAAGACAGATGACACCAATGACGACAACATGGGGTCCGATGGTCCAAGGACCGGGGATGGTACGTCGACCACCCCAGGAACGACGACCGGAGGAGTTGGAGCTAGTGCTGAAGGGGCAGGTTCGTCGACCACCCCGGACATGCACGAAGCGCCTAAATCTCCATCGAATCCTGAAGAGGAGTTCCAGATCTCTCAGGACAAGGGTGCCATCGTCGAGGCCATCAACGCGCTCTTTGCCCTGGCGGACGACAACAACGTCTGCCTAAAATGTGGTGAAAGTGGCCATCCCAACTATGAATGTCCCAAACAAGGCAATGATCCAGTGAAGTCAGCATTGATCAACTTGAGGAAGAAACTTCAGGGCGACGATGTGGAGAAAGATGATGCTCCCAAAAGAGATGATGACGAGGAGCAACGATTCCGCCAGGAGAACTACAAAGCTACCAGGGCTGGAGAGTATATGTACCTTCAAGCAATCCCACTTTCAGTCATTGGAGATCGTGCCCATGGAGAAAAGAGCATTAATGGAGTAAGAGCCGAAGAGAAGGGCCCCAGATCAAGAGATGAGCTGAACGACATTGTCGACACAGCGAGTCAAAGGGGCATCACTATGACTTGCAAAGAGATGAAATCGGCCGTTCCATACTCCGATCACAGGATGTACAAGAAGCTCAACATCGGCACGGACATCGGGAAGCTCAAGATTCTTCCGGTCAACGGTGGCAAGTTCTACTCCGAACGCTTTGTCGGACCTGGAGTGGAGTACCCACTACCGACCGAGTCCAGAGCCAACCGTGTCTTCATGGAAGATTGGGAGAAGACGTACAGCTACTACTTCAACAAGGCCCTGAGGCACCACATTGGACGAGAGGAAGTGTGGGAGAAGGTATCTGGCAGAGGGAGAACGACATTTTCCGGGCTCAGATGTGACGAAGCCGGATGGGTGGGTATCATGGAATTCCTACATCACCCATGGATCTTCGATCACGAGCAGGTCAAGACGGAGGATGACGGACTTGTTGATGTTGACTACCGAGCGGAGCGCATCAAGACCATGATCAAGACTGTTTGGTCAGAGTTTCAAGAGAAGAACAAAATCCGCATCCAATTCCTTTGCATCGTTCTCGATTCTACCTTCGTCAAGCCCGATGATTACCTCAAGAATGTCATGGGAGTCGGTGATGACATCCATGATCTCATTGCACAACGTGGTGAAGTCTTCCTAGCACCCATTGCAGTGCGTTCGCCTGGAGGATTTTCTGCCCGTGGATCAAATTTTCGCCTTGACTATTGCAAGATTTGTCACCCGATCACAACGAGGATCGCAGACGATATTTGGTTCTGCTATCATGTTACTGAGTTCAAGAACGTGATTGGCATCATCGAAGAAGGTCTTCGACCTGGAGGACATCGAGGTGGGCGAACACAAGTTTTCCTCAACCCATTTGTGCCATGGGACAAGCGATACAGGGAGATCCTGGGAGGACAATTGACACACCTAGGACAACCTCGCATGGTCCTTGCATTCAGCGTTCATCGACTCATGAGTCTTGGAGTCATGATCAACGCATCTGGCCAAATGGTGGTAAACGGAAACATCCCCTTCTCCGAGGTGACGGCAGCGTGGTATCAGAACAACAACTATGATTGGGAACGACTAGTGGTTGATTCTGGAAAGTTCCAGTTGGTGAGATCATGTCAAGAACCAAAGGAGATTGCAACGGCAAACACGGTGCTTCGTGTCTCCAAGGCCTTGCTGGACGACATCGACAGCGGAGACAGCATTCCGTTCTACGACAAGTTCGTCGAGGATGTTGCAAAACTTGAATCACTCAGTGGAGCCCTCAGCCCTAACAGTGAGCTGAGGAACGACATCGTGACGTTCATTTCCGAGAACTACACTCCGGGAGAAGCTGGACATTTGATATGCCCAGCATGCCTTACTGAGACACCAAACATTCTATCCATCTGCATCAGATGCCATGGAACGCTTGTCAGCTGGGGGGAGAAAGAAGCAGAGAAAGATGAGAGCACTGCCCCTGGGATGCCCGAGAGAGAGAGGCATGAAAGCGGAGATGGTCAAGATGCTGACGACGATGACGTCGAGATGGAGAATGAAGACCAGGAGGAAATTGACAGACTGGTCAGGGAATCGAAGAAGAACACCGAGGAGGCTCCGGATGATGACATTGACATGACCGACGCCAGATCAAGCCATGAGAATGTCAAACCTGAAGAAGAACGTCGACGCAATGTACCTGATCAGAAAGTTGTATTCGGTGACAACACCAAAGAGCAACAAGAAGAAGAAGAAGAAGAAGATGAAAAGGTTGCCAAAGAACAAGACCAAGATGAAGAGCGCCGAGAAGCAAAGATGCGATTGCCTATGTGGACAACAAGGATCATCCAAGCTTCACTTATTCAATGTATCGACATCGCCCAGAATGAGGACGCCATCGATAGCACAGCTCGCGCGATGGACTGTATGATTCTGAGCTACCTCAAAGATCGATATCGGCTATTTCATCTATGGACTTCAGTGGCGCCAGCACAGCAGTATCATGACCACGTGGTGAGACTTAAGCTTATCCCTGAATTTGACGGATACATATGTGGAAGATATGTGGGCGAAACTGGGGATGGTGAATTGAAGGAACCAACAGAAGCACAGCTGATCGCTTCATTTCATGCGAATGCCAAGAATGGGAAGATCGGCGGGCGTGATTTGGAAACCTATTTGAAGGGAGTGAATGGTATTCGAGTGGTTTGCAAGATTATGAGGTACTTGGTCCAGATTGGCATCACCCCTCAACTCATCTTCTCCAAGGTTGCCGACAACACGGACGAGGACGACGAGCGGCAAGCAGAAGCACGACGGGAATCATCTGACTTTGTCAGGAAGATTATCTCCGGTGCCTTTGCCGTACGTTCCTACGACTATTTTCGAGTAACACCACCTCGACGGGACGATCATGTTCATATTGATCCTATAGAACTAGCATGTGCAGTGACGGAAAGATGCAGAACATTTACCATCCTCGTGACGCTCAACAAGATCGGCCTGGAGCTACCTCAGCAACTACGCAAAGTATGGCAAGGAAAGCTCAAAGCTGTACAACAGAGCGCAGCACAGATGGCTACATGTCTCAGATCTCTTGATCCTACAGAACGTGAAATTGCCAGGCAATATGTTCGAGCACTTGGTGATGAACAACCCGCAGAGGAACAGGCCTCGGCGAGCACCAAGGAGACCGACACTGGCAAGAAGCGGCGCAAAAGATGAGTTCCTCTAGATCTATGTCAACGAAGAGGTCTTATGAGAGGATTCTGAGTGCCGGGCTAATTCGTATGAATCTCATGCATTCAGGACGCGAAGATTTCCTGATGCAAGGGAACATATTTAAAGGGCGCATGAACCTATGATCTAATTCGAAGGGTGCACGGAAACCGGATCGGACGTCGCCGACCGGGAGTACGTAATCCCCAAGAAGAATAGATATGCGGCAGAGCAATTTTTTTTTTGCACAAAGGCGAGCGTAGCTAGCAGTCGACTAGAGCACTACAGTCCAAATTTTCAACGTTTTGCTCCTGTGCTCGACTCCCCGATCGAGGGTAAGGCTACCACGGTCGGGTAGAGTCGGGCATGGGGGGTGTGATTGGGATGTAGGACTCAGCTGACACCTGTAGGATGCAGTTGTCACCCCTTTTACAGCTTCGCTACCGCCGCCTGGATGGCTCAAGACGCCACCCGCATCTGAGAAAAGAAACTCGTCTGCTGCAGCGATATCTCACTGGACGCATTCATAGATTCAACGTAGAGTACACGATCACCCACAAGGTCGAGGTGATTCACATATATATATATATTTATTTCAGTTTCAATGACATTTGGCATGAGCATCAAACAATTGGCCAATACCGGCTTTTTTTCATCTCGTTCAGGGGGATCAACAACCAGTTCCCGTTCTCTGATTTGGCAGCAACTATGGGTTTGGACCTGAAAATAGGGTACCCCTAAATCCCAGTGGTTCGTTATCATCTTCTCATATCTTCTCCATTAAACTTGCATTTGTTTGGTTTTTTTTTCGCATTTTCAGACACACCCAAACATCATTTGGTAGACTATTTATATCATATATATATATACACACGATATGGATAAATAGATATATGTATTACATATGAGTATATATCCAGGATTATCCATAATATCTCCCATCATCCTCCCCATTATATTCGATACATTCCCATAATATCCCAGTGCAAAGTTCCAGGACTTTCCAAGTTGGACACGGCGTGAAGGGAATCGGGCAACGAAGAGAGGCTCAGCCGAATGGTGCGGATCCTGGTTGCTGCCCTATGGGATGAAAATTCTATCATTAAAACCAGTCCCATCGTATGCTGGTTGGTGGTTTGGAACATTTTTTTTTCTCCATATATTGGGAATTTATTTAATCATCCCAAGTGACTTTCACTCATATTTTTCAGAGGGGTAGGTTGAAACCACCAACCAGTTTGGATTGTTTTTGGTTTCCGAATCAGCCAAAATCATCCATTGTCTGGTGCCAAAGATGAGCAAATCCCCTATGAATCCTATGAAAAGCCATGGTTGATGGGGATGCTGGGCCACAGCACACTGCGAGGTATATCCCTCCCAAGGCAGACTTCTCAAGACGTGAAGCCTGCGGGTTTGCAGCTATTACTTTGACGTATGTGGGTTATCGATGTGGAAAATCAATGGTCAATGGTTAATAATTAATAGTGATTAATGGTGATTAATGGTGATTTAATGGTGGTTTAATGGTGGTTTAATGGTGATTAATGGGATTTACCATCCGGTAATCAAAGATGGCAATTGAGAAAAATCCCAGTTAGTTGGTTTTTCCACCTAAACCTCCATTCACAGGAGGGAATTCCCATGGCCATGTTTGAATACCAGAGGGTATGTGGGTTTGTCTAAAGATAGGGCAGCCCTAAATTTGATGATTCATCATCATGTTCCCATCAAAAAACACATTTGGGAGGTATACCCCATTTTCAGACACAGCCATGTTGAATTTCACTTAGTTGTTCTCCATTTCCGTGGTACCATTCCAATCAAGAGGACTGAAGTCCCAGGTTTTTTATGACAAAAACCCTTCCTGGTTTTGACCCAGCTGTTTTCCGTGACCGTCGTGACTTGTTCCTTCTGCTATTTGAGTTGCCACTCATTCAATATCATTTTTCATGACTTAATGATTGTATAAAAAACTGGAGTTAGTTATTAGTTAACAACGGATCATCAACAAACAATATAAATGTCATGAATCAGACATCGCCTTTCCCCATCCCAGCCGCGCCAGGGATGCTGTTTTTGCACGGTGGGAGCTATGTGGTCTACGCCCCCTGCGATGCGGTGTACCGCTCTCTGGCTTCCAGGCTGGCGCTGCAGTGTGGTACCTCGGCACGGTTCGGTGAGCGGATTGGGCTTGGAATGGTGGTTGAAAATGATGTGTCATGGGGATAACTATCGGGCATGTTTGAACTTCAAACAAACACATGATTCATTTTTTTTGAATATATATATATATATGTATATATATATATAATTATGTTATTTGGATTTTATGGGGATTGAACGGATTTTATGTGATTTTACGAGGGTGTAATGGGGTATAAAAGGATAGATCATGGGTGTGTCTGAAAGTAGATGAACATGGGAGGTACCCCCCACTTGGGGCAATTTCAGAAAATGATCACCTTGGACCATTGGATTTTGATGCTTCACTTGCTAAATACTTTGCTGTACTTTCTTATCTGAACAGTGTACTTTAAGAAGGACAGGCTGCCTTAGCCTCTTTGAACAGTAGCACTATCGCAGAACGCTGCATTTGCTCATGCGCTCATGCACATCTCGCACTTTGAGTATCAGCACTATACTTTATGAAAGGAGTGCCACCTTTGTGTGGAAGCTGTATCTTCAGACCACTTCTTGAGTAAATTGCAGGATTTTCATCAAGGAACAACTTGCTGCAGGATTTCTGCGCAGCCCGAAAGGATGAATTCGTCAAAATAAGGACACAACATGTCCCAAAAAAGACTGCACTTCTTGAAGGGATAGAATTATTTTCGTGAAAGGAATACTGAATTCTCTAGGCACACTTTACTTTATTCAAGCACCAAGCTATAGTTTCCTTGGTTCACCATACAAGGCGCAAAGTGCACCACATTGTTGGCAGACGCAAAGTGCAGTCTTGGTGCCCAACAGATACGTCGTGCTTCCTGCACGCAAATGGAGGTTTCCTAAAATGGGGGTACCGCAATAGCTGGATGGTTTATAATGGAACATCAATCTATAAATGGATGATGTAGGGGTACCCCCATTTTAGGAAGCCTCCAAGTAAGTAATTGTGGCATGTTCTTTTGTTGATATAATCCTCAAGAACTCAATCACCGTGATAAAAAAGATAACAAGTACCGACTAAATCAGTTGTGTCAAGAATGCCTGCAGACCTTGGATATCCACAGGATTTGAACATAAACCACCTAGTCATGGGGATTGAGCCAAGAAATTGATCATCCCATATCTCACAAGCCTTTCCTTGGGGATCTTGGGGTGGGGTGGTTGCCCGGTTCGCCACTTGGACCCGGGACAATGCACGTCAGAGGTCTTTGCGTTTTGTCCATCGACTATCGACTGGCGCCTGAGCACCGTTTTCCAGCTGCCTTTGAGGACTGCTTCAGGCCACATATGTGACTGCAGAGGTATGTCAATCAGGTAGTCATGTCTATACCAATCATATTGGCTAAAAAAACCCTGTTGTAACTAGAATAGTTTCGTATATCGGTGTATCAGTTCCCGTCCATCTATTAACTGAAGCTGGATCATCACAGCATTTCTGGAAGTCTGGGCACTTGACAGGGAGAGGAACTGCAGATCTGGATCAACATACATATTCCTTTACTCTTTCGGGAAGTTCAAAGTGCTTCATCGAATAGCCATGGCGCTGAAATTGGCGTGGTCCATGGCTCTTTTGGGTGCTTCATTGGCCACTGATGGTGAGTTCATGGCCAGTGATGATGAGTGCGGTGCCGAAAGCGCCGAAGCTTGCACCCTGAATGCCTTGCAACTGAGACGTCAGCAAGTGCAGCAGGAAGAGGGCTGCCATGATATCAAAGAAGGTGAGGGTGGTCCCTGTTGGGAAGCCATCATGTGGATCAAAAATGTTGGCTTGCCCAAGCACGCCAACTGGTATCCAGATATGACCGAGGACTCTCCTTTGGGCGCCTTCCAATTTGCCTCCTGGAACACCACACATCCCAAGTGTCCTAGGCCCTGTAACGTGCCTGCACCCGGCAGCTGGTGTCGCAATGCAGCTCCACCCACCTTATGGCGCGCGGCAGCTGCTGGACCCAGCATCAACATCAAGGTGCAGATTCATATTTTAACAATCTGGATTTTCATGTTCCAAGATCTTTTTCCTCAAGATTTTCTGTGTTCACCCGCAGTGGGGCTATGTGGAATCCAGGTGTTGTCCTACAACCTCTTCTGGTGGCATTTGTTCAAGGTGGAGGGCGGCCGGGGTGGCAGCGCCGGACATTTGATCCGAAGCACCAGTCAGCCCCCTTATGATGTCATGGGCTTCCAGGAATGTGAGGATCCTGAGAAGGTGCTGGGTCCTGCAGGACTTTTGCAGGACCTGGAAACGGGACATGGCTGGGTTTGTCTATAGGATACCCCATGGATGCCTCAAAATTCAGTGGTTAATCATCATTTTCGCTATTGCTGTAGTCATTTTGGGTATATCCCATTTTCAGACACACCCAAATGTCGCAGATTTTCGAGGGATTGGAAACATCACAATATCTTTTGTTCGTTGGTGAGGGGTGATTTTTGAAAAAGTCCCATCTTTAGGTCTTTGGGCACTCAACAGACCATGGGTGGAGATTCCAAATCATTTGGTGAAATAGACGAGAAATGGGATGTTGCAACACTGCAGGAATACGAGATGTTCCAAGGAACCCATGCTATTTGCATGGCCTATCGAAAGGACACCTGGCAGCTCTTGGTCAAAGGTGAGACGGATGTCGCGGAGGATATGCGCACCGAGTATTACGGCACGCGTGGGACGCAATGGATGCGCCTGCAGCACAAGGCCGGCTGGGGTGAAACATGGTGATACCATGTGAAACCTCAAACTTGAGATGGATTTCCAGATGGTTGCGGCTCAACCCGCAACTCTGATCGATTATACAGATCGTCCAAAAATATTGACACATGAAGCGTTTTTGTTGGGGATAGATGTATGCCAATACCTACAGTAGGTATACGGTAACACGGTACATTTCCATTTCGTTCACTGTGGTTTTCAGCTTAGCCTGGCGGCGAGGCTAGTGGGCGACACCTGTTTTTTGTGAATCACCATGGACCTTTGTCCGTGAACTCTGGTGGTCTCTGTGGCGGCCAATCCACGGCCTTCAACATCCTGAATATCATGGCAAAAAATGCCCAGGTAGGCGATGTGCTGATGTTGGTGGGAGATTTTAATGCCAACGCAGCCTCAAGAACACTTCAGTCTTTGTGGGGTCATCTTGATGCGGTCTACAATTCCAAGTCCTTTGGAGGCGTGGACAATATCCTTGCGAACGTTGCTGGTCAGTGGATTCAGTGTTTTTTTCACCAAAAATCCCCGAAGATGAAAATTGCTATTGAATGCTATTGACATGTATTGACATTTCACCATCCCTGAAGATGAAAATTGGTATATATTGACATTTTGCTGACATTTTGCTGATCAATTTCTCCCAATCAGCTGTCAATCTAGCAGGTTGGCAAGAGCGATGTCTTGCTGGGCGAGGAGATTGGCTCAGGAGGCAGCGACCACCAAGCGATCTCGGCCATCATCAGCGTGGGAGACGAGGCATCTTCCTCAGGAAAAAAGGCGAAGTCCTTGTGCCATTGGATGAGCTGAAGATGCCAATTTTATCCAATTTTTCTGAATGATTGTCCCACTGGGTTGTTCACCAAAGATGTGGAAGTCTCATGAAATGGGAAGTCGTACTTTGCTTTGGAAAAAAACGTATATGATATATATATATATATTGTGACGCACATATACATGGGCATATTAACATGCATATTGGCATATACAGATATAGACATGCACATACACATATACATACACATACACATACATATACATTATACATTATACATTATACATTATACATTATACATTATACATTATACATATACATTACATACGTCAGGATACTCTGTTCACATCCTTCAGATTTTGCCGACGTTTAAACCCTTTCAACTTTCGGCCCCTTTATGCTAATCCCCTTGTTCGAGCCAATTGCAACTTCCCTTACAAATGCAGTCCATTCCGAAGCAGTTAAACACTAAGGTTATTAGGGGGCCTGTGCAATGATGACAACTTCCATGAACCGATGACATCTTCTATAAAAATTATACGTTGGTAACACTTTACAGAAGGACTTATACATAACCACAGTATACCCACATATGTGTATAATATATATATATACCCGCAGGACGCTTGGTTCGCCGTCGGTGTATATGCATGTTTTTTGTGTTTGGGGGGGGTGTGGGGGGGGGTGGGGTGGGGGGGGGGGTGGAGGGGGGGGGTTTGGGGGGTTTGGGTGGGGGGGGGTGTGATAACGTCTTGTCGCGCGCTTTTTTTTGGGCTGCAAATATGACATTATCGTTATGTTTCCAGGGTGGAAATGCTACGTTATCGCTATGTTTCCAGGGTGGAAATGCTACGTTATCGTTATGTTTTCAGGGTGGAAATGCTACGTTATCGTTATGTTTTCAGGGTGGAAATGCTACGTTATCGCTATGTTTTCAGGGTGGAAATGCTACGTTATCGTTATGTTTTCAGGGTGGAAATGCTACGTTATCGTTATGTTTTCAGGGTGGAAATGCTACGTTATCGCTATGTTTTCAGGGTGGAAATGTTACGTTATCGTTATGTTTTCAGGGTGGAAATGCTACTTTATCGCTTTCTTTCCAGGGTGGAAATGCTACGTTATCGTTATGTTTTCAGGGTGGAAATGCTACGTTATCGTTATGTTTTCAGGGTGGAAATGCTACGTTATCGTTGTTTTCAGGGTGGAAATGTTACGTTATCGGTATGTTTTCAGGGTGGAAATGCTACGTTATCGTATGTTTTCAGGGTGGAAATGTTACGTTATCGGTATGTTTTCAGGGTGGAAATGCTACGTTATCGGTTTCTTGTCAGGGTGGAAATGCTACGTTATCGTTATGTTTTCAGGGTGGAAATGCTACGTTATCGTTATGTTTTCAGGGTGGAAATGCCACGTTATCGTTATGTTTTCAGGGTGGAAATGCCACGTTATCGGTATGTTTTCAGGGTGGAAATGTTACGTTATCGGTATGTTTTCAGGGTGGAAATGTTACGTTATCGGTATGTTTTCAGGGTGGAAATGCTACGTTATCGGTTTCTTTTCAGGGTGGAAATGTTACGTTATCGGTATGTTTTCAGGGTGGAAATGCTACGTTATCGGTTTCTTGTCAGGGTGGAAATTGTACGTTATCGGTATGTTTTCAGGATGGAAATGCTACGTTATCGGTATGTTTTCAGGGTGGAAATGCTACGTTATCGATATGTTTTCAGGGTGGAAATGCTACGTTATCGTTATGTTTTCAGGGTGGAAATGCTACGTTATCGTTATGTTTTCAGGGTGGAAATGCTACGTTATCGGTATGTTTTCAGGGTGGAAATGCTACGTTATCGGTTTCTTGTCAGGGTGGAAATTGTACGTTATCGGTATGTTTTCAGGGTGGAAATGCTACGTTATCGTTATGTTTTCAGGGTGGAAATGCTACGTTATCGTTATGTTTTCAGGGTGGAAATGCTACGTTATCGCTACGTTATCGTTATGTTTTCAGGGTGGAAATGCTACGTTATCGTTATGTTTTCAGGGTGGAAATGCTACGTTATCGGTATGTTTTCAGGGTGGAAATGCTACGTTATCGGTTTCTTTTCAGGGTGGAAATTGTACTGACAACAGTGCTGACTGCGATGAAGGAGTATCGGCAGGCTTGTTCAACAGGAACAGTGCGAATCGCCCCTGCTGAATGTTTCAATGAGACTAAAGTACCTTGGCTGACCTGAGAAAATTTGCTTTCCAGCCGACGGCGAACCAAGCGTCCTGGGCGTATATATATATATATAGTATAATTATGTATACACACACAAAAACACGCACAATAATATCTATATCTATATCTATATATATATATAAATATGTAATATACTATACATACACACTAATACTTGTGCATATTTGAAGCCTGTGTTATGTGCAACCCAGGCATGTGCCCTGTCAGAGCGCACCACAGGGATCCAGCTGTTGGAACGAAGTTCAGTGGGCCATGACCAATGGCATCCAACAGCATCCGGAGTGGTATCCAGGTCTCAACGCCAACAGTCCCCGAGAACAGTTTCAAGAGGTGGGGCTGTTGGTTATCTGTGCAACAAAAATGGCACCAACAAAAACCATGCGTTTGATGGGAATAGAATGGGAATCTCTTTTGGGATATATATATATATAGAATTATATAGAATCAACCATGAAAAGTGATCTGATGGTATTTTGCTGGTTGGCGTCTCGATCTTTTTGTTCAATGCTAACAAGAAAAACAATTGCCAACATAAATTCCAGGAGTGTATCATCATATTCACCATTCAAATATAGCCATCAGGTTTGGGCTTCAGGACCCCAAAACCTTTTGTCCAGGTTGTGCATCAGAACAGCCCCGGGAAGTGCCCCTTACCTTGTGGTGTCTTGGGTGCCAACCTGGGTTCTGGTGCTGGTCTGGGCGCTAGCTTCTCCGTCTCGGTGTTGAACGATGCCAAGGGCTCGGACGGATGTCTTTTGGAACCTCAAACAGAATACGAGGCGCCCCAGCCGAAACGTAGGGGATGTAGGGGGGATCTCTGGGATCTCTTGGCTGATCTTTCCGGATTTGGTTTCTGCAGTTTCTGTTTCTTTTTTTTGGGCAAATCCGAGAGAACAGTTGGGAAGGTGCAATACGGGAAAAACATCTGCAGATGTGTTCGAATAATCATGTACTCTCTCCCCCCGATGTAAGTCATCTACAGTGTCCCTCGCATTGTCCAGCTGTGCAGTTTTTTTCTAATCTCAGACGGTTCCCTTGCCATTTTAGGTTTTATCAGAATCTTCCCATACTTCCTTACAAGAAATGAAGCTTTGCGTTTCTCCCTATTTCTGGACCAACAAATGGAACAACAGAGTCCAAAGCGCTTCATTTTTGGAGCAAGAAATGAGACCCCTAGCGTTGCGGCAGAGAAACTTGTCATTTCAGGTAGATGGTTGGAGCGAGGTGAAGAAAGGCGTCTCCGATCCCCGCGTTTGTTGCCAGCTGTGCCAAAACCACGGTGGTTGCAAGGCATGGCTCTGGTCGGAATGGTCGACGGAGGCCCATGGCATGGCATGCATCCTGAAGGGCGGACAGGTGGGAAGCGAAGGGCCGTTGAAGTACTTGTTGTCTCATCATTTTAGGGGCTACGACACTCCACGTTTGGTTTTATGGATGTTTTATGGAAATGATAACCTGGGAATCCCCCAAAAGCCCGGCCTAGGTCAAGAGCAAACGCTTCAAAGACGGCAGCGTGAGCGGTTTGCCCAAGACTGAGGCCATCAAGGAGGCTGAGATGGCCATGACCAAGACGGAAGCCATGCAGAACTGGTCTGAAAAAACCAGGTGAAACCTTGACATTTTCGCGAATGGCCATGGTGGGGAACGAAATTGGCGAACAAAGTGCTGCTGTGACGACAAAATCCGGCCCTTGCACAAAGTGGTGGGGGCTTGGTTTAATTTGACAGTCGAAAAGAAACGCGAGCGCAGAGCAGTTTTGTGAGTTTGCCAAACCAAACTGTGGTGAATTCCAGCAATCTGCTGGAATCCAAGGACTTCCATAGATATCCTCAATGCGGTTGTTCTCTTAGATCCACCATGAGGTAGATGCATGTTTGAACATCTGCAGGATGCTTGCTCCGCCCTTCGCTGGCTAAATGACCATGGCCCACCTGAAGTGAATGATGGAGGCGGAGACAAGCAGCGCATAGCGTCATCACTACGACCTGGCCATATTGATCCATATTGTTTAAGTATTTGAAGTGGGATCGGAAGTTCAGTTACTCTCAGTTACTATCAGTTACCATCAGTTACTGCAGTTTTTTGTGGTTTAAAGCGGTTGAACTTCCGATTTCCAGAGGCAAAGTGGTGGCCGAGTCGTCATCGGAGGCTCAGGACCTGTTTGTCAGGATCTCAGCTGACAAATTGGGACGGGGTCTTGTGGTCAAGTATGCCAGTTTAGATTGTGTTAAACCGATGTATAATGATGTAATATGATGTATATCAATGTATATCTATATACACCTGGCAATCTGAGATATCTGAGCGCACCTTTGGACAACTTTTGCGCAAAAAACGACCAAGATATGGATAAATGAGCAGAACTTCAAGGAGAATCTTCCGCAAAAACCCTTCATTTCAGGTTAATGTGAATTATTTGCAGTATATATATATAATTATTATAATATATATATATACATATGTATACACATAACTTTACTGTATGTATGTATGTATGTATGTATGTATGTATGTATGTGTGCATGCATGCATGCATGCATGCATGCATGTATGTATGTATGTAATGTAATGCAATGTAATGTAATGTAGTGTAATGTAATGTAATGTATATAATGTTTTTGGTATGTAATGTTTTTGGTTTGTAATGTTTTTGGTATGTAATGTTTTTGGTATGTAATGTTTTTGTTATGTAATGTTTTTGTAATGTAATGTTTTAGTAATGCAATGTTTTAGTCATGTAATGTTTTAGTAATGTAATGTTTTAGTAATGTATTGTTTTAGTAATGTAATGTTTTAGTAATGTAATGTTTTAGTAATGTAATGTTTTAGTAATGCAATGTTTTAGTCATGTAATGTTTTAGTAATGTAATGTTTTAGTAATGTAATGTTTTAGTAATGTAATGTTTTAGTAATGTAATGCAATGTAATGTAATGTAATGTAATGTATGGTATTGTATGGTATTGTATGGTATTGTATGGTATTGTATGGTATTGTATGGTATTGTATGGTATTGTATTGTATGGTATTGTATGGTATTGTATGGTATTGTATGGTATTGTATGGTATTGTATGGTATTGTATGGTATTGTATGGTCTTGTATGGTATTGTATGGTATTGTATGGTATTGTATGGTCTTGTATGGTATTGTATGGTCTTGTATGTTCTTGTATGGTATTGTATGGTCTTGTATGGTCTTGTATGGTATTGTATGGTATTGTATGGTATTGTATGGTATTGTATGGTATGGTATGGAATTGTATTGTAATGTAATGTAATGTATGCATGCATGCATGCATGCATGCATGTATGTATGTATGTATGTATGTATATAATCATATGTACATTATATGTATGATTCATACAATATATATATATACACATATTTCGATATATCCAGCTATTGAATGCCAAGGTCTGTGGAGACAGCGCCGGTGGAGGTTTGGCTTTGGCGGCCCCAGGACCCAGTGGAGGTAGCTTTGTGGAGCCACTGGTCATGGTCTGTTGCTCGTAGGCCATCCGTTGGGAATACCTTGGTACCCCTGGAAAAAAATCCTCAGAATATGATAGCCACATAAAATCTTGTTTTGCATTTGACATATTCTTGAACATTTTGAAGGTATTCTTTAACCATCCATTTTTTGTGGGGGCTGTAATTTCAGCCATTGCCACAAGCGAAACAATGTGGATCAAAGTAGCCAAGGCCTGCATGGGCCAATCTGCAGCTGTACGACAACGTCTGCGGGGGGTCATTGGGTACCTGAGATGTGAAACTGGAAGGTGAAGTGGTTTTCCAATGGGCCAATGTGGTTTCCCCACATGACCAGTTGTGTATGTCCAATTCTTCCGACTTGATGTTGTTTGGCTTCTGTTTCTTGGGGCTGTTTTTTGGCAGAAACAAGAATGAATCTCAAGCTTCAACAACATGAAAAGTTGAACCTGAGAGTTGAATATCACATTCTGAGCCCCTTGGATTATTGATCCTCACACCTACAATTGATTCTTGTGACAAGATCATTGGGTCTTCACATGTCTTCACTAATTACCCAACATGTTTTTTTGCATACTTACGGCGGATTGCACACATTAGTTTTCATTTTAATTTCTGTCCTGTAAGCCCATCAAAAGTGCCGGGGGGGGTCCTCCTGCGGGTTCCAATAGCCGTTTCCGAGGCTGTCTGCTTGGGCTGACTTGACAGCTTCGACGCCAAGCTATGATAGTCGCCAATGGTGTGCTGAGAAATGCTGGGGTCTGATTCCCAGTTTTCGAGTACATTTGTTGAAAGATTCTGACATAACCCCCATAATGGCCCATACCCTTCTGATCGACCCTTATTCAATTCGTGTTTCTTCCCTTTTTCTCTCTGGGTTCAGCTTTGTGCGTGTGAACCTTCACAGCAGGTGATGCTGTGAATGCCGGCGTGGACCGGAAGAGCGGCAGAGAAGAGGCGGAAGCCTACTTAGGAGGTGCCAAATCCAACCAGTTTTGCCTCATGATGATACCATTGGTGCCTCCTTGGGCGCCATTGCAGAATTCGGACGCTCTGATGGCACCAGGTGGTGGCGTTACCCGGCACGGTACCATCCTCGGTGGGTGGGCCAGGCTCAGCATCAAATGGGTCTGCCATTTGTTGGATATATCTGGATCCATCTGGAGGTTTCCTCAGCAATGTGGGTACTTCATGGTACCTCCAAATCATCCAAGTCATTAGACAATCATTAGTCATTAGACCATTTTAGTATATTTTGGTATTAAAACCCATGATTTCGGGGATCCCCCATTTTCCCCCCATTTGGATCCTGAATTCCAAAAACCTCCAAGCTTTGCCGAGGCAAAGACTGGCGCGCGAGTCCGTTCTTTGCTCCGGCCTCGCGCCTACGAAAGCTGCCTGCAGTGCTCTTGCAGGCGACGTGGGCGACGTTGGCGACGTGACCGGTCTTGGGAGGGCGGCTGTGCTAAGGATGACTTTTTGATGGCTTAAGATGGGTTGATAGGGATATAATTATACGCAACACATATGAAATGATATGGGTTTGCCCAGAAATAAGGGAATGGTTTGCCACCAATCAAAAGGCCATCAAGTCACAGGGTAAATGATGATAAACCGTGTTTTTTTTTTGGTGTGCCCTACTCACAAAGGCACAAGGGTCATGTTCATCAATGGGGATGAACAGAGATCAATGCCAGGTCGGGAATTTTGAACTCATCTTGGATGAGTCTGTCCGCAGCCTCGGTCAAGATCAGGTAGAGGAAGCTCTCAGCATCTCGAAGCCAGCCAACACAATCAGCTGACGGATGATACTCAAAATGACTCCAGGTCCTTCTTCAAAAACGTCTCGAGAAGCTTGGCTGCTCACCTAGTCTCCACATCAAGTCGCGACTGCAGGTTGTTACAGGTTGTTCTTCATCAATTTGACCCCTGCATTCCTTGTCCCAAGGTCATCCAGATGCGCAAGTTGATATCTATCCTCGCATGTGCGCCTCGGGCCTTTCGGGTTGGAAAGCCGTTGCTAGCTGTTGCCATGATTCGGTGATCACAGTGGTGTGGCAGGTGGCATTGCTGGCACCAATATGAAGAGGGATGTGGTGCGCAACCTGCGACATGGCTATTGTGTGGTCATAGTTGGATGGACCAAACAGGAGATGAATTAAGACGCTTGGTCCATTGGTATTGAACATTGTTGGACGTTGCGAAAACATGCGGAATTGAATTTTGATCCATACTCATGCAGATTCTCTCCTTTGTGAAGGCTCAAGTTTTTGTTTGTTTGTTTACACTGCAGCGTTTACCACTTCTGTACGATTCTGTACGTAGCAAGTGAAGGAATTGCCGCAGAAACCTAAGGAAGGGACAAGGAAAAAGCTAACGATTAACGTGAGAAAGCCGCGGAATTTCGATGCTTTTCGATCGGGGCTTTCCGCAATGTCGCTATTTTGATTATGAGGGGGTCATTAGGGTAGTTACCAGGTACTTTGCACATTGCGGCTGTGGGTCAAAATTTAAGACCAACCAACAGATCTTGGCAGATCCTGGCAGCTCACTTTTAGCATTGACCATTTAACACATATAAATAAGCATTATCTACCCTCCAAGCTTGGTACAAAAAAGATACTTGATCACCCACATCAATTGGGCCCAAAGACATTTCTCTGAAACCTGGTGAACGCCCTTTAACAGATCGTAGGTATATCATAGATCTAACATGTTTTTTGATGGTAGCCCCAATGTACCCTCTGGTAAACTAACAGTTTGCTATTGATAATGGCCATAGAAATAGTGGATTTTCCCATTAAACATGGTGATTTTCCATAGTTATGTTAGTTTCCTGGGGACCCCCCCGGTGTATCTTTTCCTGGCGAAAATTTCGACCATTTTGGGGGGTGCCAGGCCTCGGCACCTTGCGGCAAGCGACGAACGCTCTCCGCGATCTGAAGCAATGGGCCTTTTGGCCAAATTTTTGACCATTTTTGTTGGCTTCGTGCCAAGGAACTGGTGATTTTTTGGGAGATTTTTTAGGGTACAGATATAGCAAAACAATGCAAAACATAAAACATATATGATATATATATATGATATATGATATATGATATATGATATACATATGATATATATATATATTATATATATGATATATATATATGATATATATATATATATGACAAAGATCTGAGATGATTTTAAATGACAGATTCGATTTTGAGCCGTGGCCATATTCTTGCAGATATGGCATCACAGTAGATTATAGTAGATTCATACACAAGTTAAAGCACAGGATCCGGTAGGCACATTCAGTTATCATTTGGTCCAGGTCGCTATGATGTGTCCTTTCGTTTTGCCATTTGATATAACGTCAAATGTCACCTTTAAGTCACTAGGAAAGCTTCGATGTGATATCAATATCCCAGAAAATCCTGCAGATATTGTCAAGGAGAAGCCTCCCAAGATATCCAACGGTACAAGCTGCTACACTCTTACACCCTCAACCCGTGAAGATGTGTTTACTCAAAAAGGTACCCCCACATTTTGTGGTCGATCATCCTTTTTCATCCTTTTTCCAACTATAGAACATGGAGATGTTTGGGTGGGCCCCCCAACTTGGGACAAATCCAGATGGTTTCTAGATTCTAGTCTTTACGAATGTTTTGGGAGAAGAACCACCCAAATCTCGCCATTCTTCCAAGGTCAAGGCACGCAAGACTTGACGAGTTGCTGTTCGACCGCCTTGGTCAAAAGACGCGATGCAGATAGGTTTTGTGTTGTTTTAGTTTTTAAATAACACATGGTTGCTGGATGTTGGGATGTTGCTGGATGTTGTGTTTTCTTTGTCATGTCTTAGAGGCTTAAAGCGTCTCGGCGTCAGGTTCCCTTGAGGTTTCCCTAAGTTCCTGCCGGTGAAAGCCAAAAGTGTGAAAGAAGGCCACGTCAAGTGCTCCTGCGACCTACGATGGCGGAACAAATCGGAACAAGAAAGGTGCAGATCCAAACCAAACTACAAAGCAACGAAAGCGAGGCTTCGCTAAATCCAACAAGCGCCTTGATGCAATGACATTTGAAGTCCGGACTTTGAAAATCGAACTTGAACTATGACTATGTTCTCAACGGCACAGTGCTTGCCCCGAACCATGAACTTAAGGTATTCCAACTAGTGCAGCTGGCGGGCGAAATGACTGCAAATAAAAAAAGTGACGCCTCTCTCAAAAAACAAGACGTGTCACAATGTGGTCCGAACATGTCAAAACATAGTGATTCTTGAATTAAACCGTTCGTTAAGAAAGGCATGGAAAATCGAAAGGCATCACAGGCAGAAAACACGCACATATTGTGTATGGTTTTGTTTGTATCACGAACATACATTCATTTTGAGTTTCTGTATACGATGTATTGCACGTTGCGCATATGTTTTTTTGGACGCTTATTTGTCCCACTACGCTGGCCACGTATGAATTTTCCGCCAAGACCGACACCTGCAGCCGCCGCTGCCACTTGGAGTGACTATCCACGATCCATTATAATCCAGTGAGACTGTTTTGTGAAAAACGCCACGCCTCAAAGGTCGTTCGCGAAGCAACTTTCCCCTCGTTTTTTCGTCGAGCCTGCTGTACGGCTATGCGCAAGACTCTTGCGAAGTGGTGCCATTGCGGAATGCAAGAGCAGCAGACAGATGAAATAGAATCACACATCACAAGAGTACACCAAAGATAGTGCAAAATGCATCAAAATGCAACGTCTTAGTAACGCACATCAGACACTCAAACACAACCACATAAAAGTCTTAATCATGAAGAGTTGGCTGTTCACACGCAGGCCAACAACTATTCTGGGAACGCGCCAAGGACCATTCTGCAAACGCGCTATCCGTTGTACATCGTTGTACCGTTTCGCAACTTCGAAGTCCATCACGTAGAATAATGGAACAATTGGGTCCCTGGAGCCAGAAAGACATTGCTCTTCTCCACTCCAAGGTGCTGATGGTGCTGCAACCATGATGCGAAAAACAAGGGAAAACAGCTCGGAAAACAACATAACAACCACAGAATTTCCAACATCAGACTTTTTTCCCCACCCCTCCTTTGTTTGCTGCACCCCCTGCTACTTGTAGTTTCCTTCTTCCACCAAATTCATCCAAACTCCACATTCTTTCTGCCGTCGTGTTCGTATCTTTCCAGGCCCTCGCTGTGGGTTTTTAACGATCCAAAGGGATTCATCCCCATTGCACATGCCCTGCAAAGCTTGACAAAAACAGGGCCCATGGTCATGAGTCATGGTTCAATAACTTTGGTGTTGGCATACCCTGGTGCCAGCTTGAAATTGCTGCCATTTTGGGCAAATTTGCAACATGGGATCATCAAGGTGGATGGAAACATTTGGGGTGAAATTCGTAGTCTGTAGTGGCAGCGGTTTTAAAGCATGATGACATTGGCCCCTCCCAAAAATTGCGACACTACTGGCATTGAATGATGTTGGGTTTGTTGACGTGCTATCAGACGGTCATTCATAATATTCATGTTTTGTCACTCAGTGGAATATTTAAGGGCTGCCGCCCCTGCCGCCGACCCCGGAAAGGAATTACCTTTTCTGAAGAAGCACGAGAGACAAGAGAGAAAGTCGACCAATTTTGCCAAGAGTTACGTCAGACAAAGCAATGCAACCCAGAGCAGCTATCCTTCATTGAAAGCGTTTGTGCCCGGGTCAAGCACGAAGCAGCCACGGGGCAAGATCGCGGCGGGGCAGCCGAAACAAACACGGAGGCTCTTCGCTGGGCATTGCACGGCGGGCCGGGCACGGGCAAATCGTACGTGCTGAACATATTGCGGCGGGACTTGTTCGAAAAATGTCTTGGCTGGATGCCAGGCAAAGAATTTCAAGTCGTTGCATTCCAAGCTGTGAATGCTGAACCCTTGGATGGTGAGACAATCCACAAAGCTCTCGGGCTGTCGTGGCACGGCAACGATCACAATGTGGCTGGGCAACGGATTCTGGACCTGGCACGGCAAGCCGTGCAGTGGCGCTGGCTTCTCCTCGACGAAATCAGCATGGTGAGTGCTGAGATGTTAGCGCGGCTCGAAGCCCGCTGTCGGCAACTTGTCTTAGATATATCTGCCACAAAATATAGCAAACACAAACATACCCCTACCTCCGTTGCACCTTTCGGGGGCCTCAACGTCATTCTCTCGGGCGACCTGTGGCAGCTACCTCCACCACGTGGAACGTTTCTCGGTCAGATTCCATGGCACCTTGTGACAGGCGTTCCATCTAAGAAGTTGCCACTAAGCTTGCAAGGCCAGCAAATTGTATGGCTTTCCAGAGTGCAAGGTGGCCTACAGGGGGTTACAGAACTAACACGGTGCGAACGAACGCAAGATGTCTGGCTGCAGGAGCTGCAAGCCGAACTTCGCGTCGGACGCTTATCCGAAGACAACCATGCATTCCTACATGGCCGCCCTACAAGAGTTCCGGGAAGCTGGTGCGCAACAACTCAACAGCCTACCTGCGGAGAAAATATATGCCATCGCTTGTACAAGAACGGTTCCACGCCGGCAGCAATTCTCAAATACGAATGTGCAACCTGCCACTCCGAGCGAGACAGTAAGCGTTTGGTTGCGGTGGATCTAGACGATCCTCGGTTTGCCGAGGGTTTCAGCTTGGCCCGAGGAATTTTCCATACGAACGGGGTGAAGTGCCACGTAAATAAACTTCGCGCGGAACAATGGGCACGACAGCGTGGGCAGGTCGTCTACTATGCAGTGGCTACGGACAAAGTTTCATCACGAGCTTTACACGAGAAGCCCGATATCGCCCACGACAAGCTCACGTGGCTGCAGCGCAGCGACGCCGACTGCGGCAACCGGTACGGCGTCCTTCCGCTGTGCATTGGTATGCCAGTGCAAGCGCGAGAACATCTCTACCGAAAAGAGTTCAAGATTTTGAAAGGATGCCATGGAACAGTCTGCGGGTGGTCTCGCGTCGAAACAGAAACAGCATCGGCAGACGGAACAGTAATTTGGAACAAACTTCCCGAGTATATCTTTGTGCGTTTTGAAACGCGCACACGGTGGACTATCCCAGGCATCGATCAAGAGAACGTCTTTCCAGTCAGCGTGCAAAGCGGACTGTGGTTTTTGGACGCGGGCCGCGCTAACCCACAATTGAAAGTGACGCGTTATCAATTTCCCA